GAGAGAGAGAGAGAGAGAGAGAGAGAGAGAGAGAGAGAGAGAGAGAGAGAGAGAGAGAGAGAGAGAGAGAGACAGTGGCAGAGAGAGGTAGTGCTGGTCGCCGTGTCACTTTGCCATCGCCGCTGTCGGACATAGAAACTGGGCAAAGATGGAAGTCGATAGGCATGAGGCCTCATTTGCAGTGCTCCATGTGTATGCCCTGAACATTTGGATGGCGGAAGTCATATTCATGTCCTGTTTTTGGTTGTTTCCTTTTCTTTCCTCCTTTCGCAGTGTTCATGGCTTTTTTTTTTTTTTCCGCGCTCCCTGCTTTCGTCTTTTTCATGGATGTATGTGCGGAAACGATGATCATATGTGTGTGTGTGTGTGCGCATGTATCTTTGTGGTCGATTGATCGATTCATATATTAGTTGCAATGCTCCGCAGACCGCCTAACGGACGTGCGTGATTGATTGCGTGATCGAGTGATTCATTTTGCCCTACGAACAAAGGGCGACCTTGACGCCAACAGTCAATGGATCAATCAATCAATCAATCAACCACCCAATCAATCAATCAATCAATCAATCAATCAATCAGCCAATCAATCCACCAATCCATAAATAGTTATAAAACCCGAAATACAAAACGACAATAACGAAGCACGGGTGATGAAGTATTGCGACATGCATGTGCAATCCTGTACGTCTCTCTGTTTTCAAAACATGGAGTTGTGGTTGTTTTGTTTGTCGGACTTTCTCGTTGGGAGTTTTGTTTGTCGTTTGTCGGTAATGTGTGCTTCTCGTTTCACGCAACTTTCGCAGGTTCATGCATGCGCTTCAAACGACGATCATGTGTGTGTGTGTGTGTGTGTGTGTGTGTGTGTGTGTGTGTGTGTGTGTGTGTGTGTGTGTGTGTGTGTATGTGTGTGTAGCTTTGTGACCGACTGATTGATTGCTTGATCGAAGCAAGGGATCAATCAATCAATCAATCAATCAATCAATCGATCAATTGATCAATCGATCCATCGATCCATCGATCGATCAATCAATCAATCAATCAATCAATCAATCAATCAATCAATCAATCAACGAACAATTTTGAAACACAGAAATAGAAGACGACCATAACGAAGGGCCCGTGATGAATTGTTGGCACGTGCATGTGCAATGGTGTTCTTCTGTGTTTTTCAAACCATGGAGTTGTAGTTCTCTTTTGTGCCCTTTGTTTTTTTGTTTTTTTTTTTTGTTTTTTTTTCATTTTTCGTTTTTCGGGAATGTATCCTTATCGTTTCACGCAACTTCGGCAGGTTCATGCATGCGCTTGAAACGAAGAGAGAGAGAGAGAGAGAGAGAGAGAGAGAGAGAGAGAGAGAGAGAGAGAGAGAGAGAGAGAGAGAGAGAGAGAGAGAGAGAGAGAG